TTTTATTTTTTGTATAATGAAAGTTTTTAGCGGTGCAATACAGCATACAAAATTTGAACATAGGTCACCAGACAAAATAAAGAGATATAGCGCATTGTATTTCTAAAATGGAAAATTCTAATGACGTCAGCAATTGACATAAAACGCCATAGAACACGCGCAATGGCGTGATATGGCGCGAGCAACTGCTCACGTCAGGTCATTTTGGAAGTTCTTTCATTTTGTTAATCAGTTTCCGAGACCTGCGCGTAAAAATGATCACCCGTTTTGAGTTCGCGATTCTTGAGCAGGGTTCTTGTGATAACTATATCGAGCCACCTTAATTGTGATTTCAGGAAACACTCGATGTTATCACATGTGTTATCATCATATACCGCTGATAATACTAATTGTGATCGCGGGCACTGACAAAGAACGCCCGGGATGTAGTAAAATCCATTAAAAGTGGAGTTGGTGTCAAAGGCTGGTATATGCTGGTACGGTTTATAATTTGGTCAAAATTCTATTAAACTAGAAAATTTTCAAAGTTCACAGCAGGATTACTTAATTCACTTTCATCTTTTGGCCAAAAAGTCAGAATGGATTCGAGCAACGTATGTTATTAAGCCTCTTATATTGCTTTCTGCATATATGTGTTGAAGCATGCAAAGACCCCTTGCCTTGACAAGTCTTGTTTACGTTTTCTGTCAGGCAAAGTTTTTAAAATGCGGCAAAGAACTTCGTTATTGTGACTTGCATTGTTGAATCACAATGGAGAACTGCAAGCAAAAAGTAAACAAGGCAAGGGTCGGCATTATTAAGTGCTGTACTTTGAAAGTATAATTTAATATAAATTTATAGAGGATTCCAGTATTCATTGGTCTCAGTGTGGTTGCTGTTACTGCCGTCTTTGTGGTTGTTCGTAAATATTTTTCAAGCATCAGTGATGGTAAGACACCCACTGCACTAGACCCAACCGAGAAGATTGCGTTTGAAATGATCGAGAAAGAGGTATGGCATGCATTAGATTTTATATGCATTTAGTCATTTATTTATGCATGTTATTGGCATTGTGAGGTGTTTGATGTTTTTCTTTTTCGTCTCAAATTATATCTTCAGGGTCAAACCCACTAACCCAGAGAGGGCTGGCTATCTATCGGTCAGGAAACATGTTTCGCCTAGCTTTTCAAATTGTAGTGTTTATATGAAAACAATTTGATCAAGCTTTGGATCACATGGATATTGTATTAGTGACATCAACAATTATGTTTTGTCATGCTTAACAGGAAATTGGCTGCTACGGGGGAGGGGTTTCCGGCCAAAGCTGTTAAAGAAATTTTCCTTTACAAAAAAACCACAATATCAAAGTTTATTTACCCGGGCAAACACCCCCCCCCCTCTCTGGGTGCTCAACTCTGCTAACAGTGGTTGTATGAGTTTGATGGAAGTTACCGAGTGTAAATTGTATATACATAATACATTTATTAGACCTAACCAGGAAAAAAGTGCAACTATGGGTTGAACCTGTAGTGCTGCGATTCCAGTGCAATGCTCTAACCAACTGAGCTACAGAGTCCAGCTTATTTGGTTAGAGTGCTGCACTGGTATTGCAGGGCCACTGGTTCAATTCCTGTCAGAGGACCTAAAGTTGCATTTTTTTACAGATGTTCCTGGTTAGGTCTAATAAGTGTGTATATATAAATAAATGAATATATTTTTCACTTGATCATTTCCATCTACAGACCCTTCTACTATAAAAGAAAACTGTAGATACCTATGCTGGGACAGACCATTCATGTTGTATATAAAACCTATATTACTTTCTACAAATCAGATTGTTATATGTATAATTTAAAAATGAAAATTAAAGCCCAGCAAATGACTTTCAGACAAGACATAACAAAATATAAAATTTATTGGCTAACATTTTGTTGTATTGTTCACAACATCTTCAGAGCAATTAAACTTATTTACAAGCGTGTATTATATATATACAAATAGTTTCAAACGGTTACAGTATTCAAATAAGCGAATAAGAGGAAGGATGAAAAACAACCTGCCATTAAAAGCAATAGTATTAGTAAATTAAAGAAATAATGGTTAGTAATTAGAGACCTAGCAAAGCATTAGAAAAGGTCAAGAGGAGTTGACCTAATGTTAGCATTTAAAGTAGGATTAAGCTTGGATATGTATGTTAATGTTTACAAACAAAAATGTGTCGAATACGATTTGTCAACTTGTGAAACTGGACATGACACTATAGGAATGTTCGGTATGAGAAATTTCCAGTGTCGATATACCGAAAAAATTATACCGATATTATCGGTATACCGGTTTTCCTTTGATAATTATAAAGGAAAATTCTTTAATGGAAATTTGAAGGAAATTTTGAGTAATTTCGAACGACACATACTCAGTGTAAAATCTGACTGAAGTGGAAATTGTAAATCATTGCAGTAGAAAGTTCTTTGAATTGCCATTCTGTAGTAAAATAAAGGTTATGGTTTCGCCATATAGTTGGTAAATTTAAACTCGGTATGCCGAAAAATTCTGGTATATCGGAAATTTCGGTATGGTTGAATATTCGGTATCGATATACCGATATTGATTTAATACCGATATTTTCGGTATATCGGTATACCGAACAGTCCTACACGACACACATCTAAATGCATCAACAGAGTTGCAGCACCAGTATAGTCAGATAAAGAAACAACACAACCGGAAAGGTCGGATTTTCATTTTGTTAAAAGGATGGGTGGAAAAATTTCTAGTGGGTTGCAAGCGGCACAACTGAGCAAGCTTTGGGAGGGGTTAGGCGTTAGGGTTAAAGATTTTCATACAAAATAGGAGGGGTGAAGCGAAATTTTGGTGGGGTTGAACACTTTATAAGAGGGGTTAGAGAGATTCTAGGGGGGTTTAACCACCCCCCTAACTTCCCCAGTGAATCCGCCCATGACAACTGGTATCGAATTGGAACCACCGGGACAACCAAAACAAAACTTGCTGAACATAGCAAGAGTATCGGATTAAACATTTTGCTAAATTTAATTTTAGTTCAAAAACAATAACCGGACATGCACCACCATTGATTTCTATTCACGTCATACTCATTATTTACCAAAATATGATATCTTGATAAAGTTTTGTCTTTCATGCATGACTATTCAACAGGTTCCTGCAGTGTAGCCAAAGTTTAAATTGGCCATGTTATAACAAGGCAATTTCTAAGAGCCATGTTATTTAATCCATTAGTGTTTGTGTACAAGGCTTTCCCCTTGATTGGTAAAAGTGTCTGGCATCAGGCAGAGTAAAATAGAGTCTGGTGCTTTTCAGAATGCAGACCAAGCTCACAATTATTTTGTCTTTGTGACCAGGCTTTATTGTAAGGAAATTTTATCACTGCATAAACAACAAAGAAGATAACATTTGAAATTTTGAATTAAGCAGCAATCAGCAGCATGTTAAACAGCAAAGGAGCTTATAGATTATCAATTGTTGAGAGTACTGAACTACCTGAAATTTGATTTTCTGTCAGTTCTTGAATTAAATTTAAACAATGCTGTTTTTTTATGAATTATCACTGCAGGGGGCATAAAAAGACAATTAACCATTTAAGCCTGTGAATATCACCTATATACTCTTTAAATATAAAATAGTTAATCATTACTGCAAAAAATTGGTTCCCTGGACAAATTGGTTATCACACCGCTTAAAATAATCCATGTTTGTGACTACTTTACTTCTTAGATTTGCATGTTGACGGGTGTAAATTCCAGGGGTCAGGGAGGGTGTGTGTCCACTTTTTGGACATTCATAATATGATCTATAACAAAGTAACTCTGTTGTTTGTTGTTGGCAAGCTCTACCCCCCACACACACACACACTTTTGGAACGGATTTTCTCCCTTGGAATTCTTTTTGCATAACATTCTGGAGGAATGAAAAACGGAAGAAGTAGAATGAAAAATGTCGGCGCTGTAAACTGTGGACCATGCTTACAATTTCCCAACAACCACTTTCTAGTCAGATAACATGACTGTATATGTCAGAAATAAAAGTGCGTCATAAGATGCATCACAAATTGCCTCGTGTTTTATGGCGATCGGTTTCTTTGATACACCCAGTGGTAACAGAGTGTAATAGACAAGGAGAACTATATCTGTGTGATGTACAGTATAACTATTTAATATCTGTAGAATATCTAACATTTTGATTTAAATTATATAAGATTTTCATTAAAACACGTTTCATAGCTTTAATATTGTTCCAGCGGGTATATATATTGGTTGTTCCGGCGTTTCCAATGGTTTTGCATGTCATTTTCTTTCGGTGGTTCCGACGTTTTCGTTCCGTCTAGTATATACAGGCCTTACTGTTCTCAAGGATTGATTACGATATGATTACGCATTACATATATGACTTTTAATTTTCGAAGCAATTTGTTCAGTCGGTGGTCGTGACCACGTTTCTGCGCGGACCTTGTTGTTTCGTTATTTGTATTCAACTATAGTCTATAACGCATGCGTGCATATTCAATTTTTATTCACTTTTTTTCCGTTATATATACGCATGCATATTCAATTTTTATTTACTTTTTTCCGTTATGAGAAACTCAGCACTTAGCTATATATATATATATATATATATATATATATATATATATATATATATATATATATATATATATATATATATATATATATATATATATATATACCGACGTATGATTCCTGATGATTCCTATACGGATGAAACCTATCACCTGATGATTCCTATACGGATGATGATTCCTATACGGATGAAACACCTGATGATTCCTATACGGATGAAACAGACTGTTGTGGTTCTTTGAGGTAAAACGAAAAACTATATATATATATATATATATATATATATATATATATATATATATATATATATATATATATATATATATATATATATATATATATATACATATATAGTG